ATGTGATGATTTCCAAGCTTCAAAGTCATTTGGGTTATATTCTTTAAGTTTTAGTTTTAAATTACATGCTTTACACGATCGACTCATTGGTTCTTAATCAAGAATTTTACCTGTGTCCAATGATATAGCAGCAACCACTCCATTTAATGAGGAAAATCCACGATGTTGCCAGCTACCATCAACTGATACTGCGATATCAACAATGTTTGAAGAAGATTGACAAATGTCTTTAACAGCGTCAGACATTGTTTCTTTTGCAACAACTTTAGCACAATCAGAGACATGTTTAATTATTTTGTTGTAATTGTTCTTAGGCATTGGTGTATGAATGTTCATTAAAGAAGTAAATTTTTCTAATCCTGAATAACTTTGTCCACATGCACGCATAGAATAAATTATTCTATTATTTACATCAAAATTTTTCTTCCCAGAGCATGTCTTTGAAGTATAAAATTCAATTTTTTTGTTGCAATTAGGGCAGCATATATTCAACATCGAGCTAAAACCTTTTTTTTTAGGAAAACATTCTTCAAGAAATAATCCAGATTGTAAACAATTTTTGCAACATAATTGACTTATTACACCAGATAAAATTTCAATTTTATTGTCAATAATACGATAACCAACAGTTTTATTATTGACATAAAATTTATTTTATGTCAATAATACGATAACCAACAGTTTTATTATTACTTTGATGTGGTGTTTCAATTTTTTCAATTTTTTTCGAGGATATAGATAAATCTAATGAACTGTTATTGAAAATAAAGTCATTTTCAGAACAGGTAACATTGTTATTAACAGGAGCTACTGATAAAGTTGAATTGTTTGTCTAATTTTTGCTACACCTATTTCCATGAAATCTTTTGGATTTTTTACTTTGAGTACTTTGATTAACTCTGCATGATTTACCCATTATTGAAAAAGTTTATTAAATAACACAAAAATAACTAAATAGCTGGCAATTCTTATAAAAAAAACCCGTTGCTATGCGTGTTGCTAAGCTGATCAAATTTACCCAGTTGAAGGAAACCTTTTATATCTCAAGAACCAAGCCTTATTTTTAAAAAAGGTTTTCAAATTCGGATTCAGCGATAAATTTCGTATAAGAAATACACAAATTATTTTTTTTGAATTTTTTAGGAATTTTGAAGGGTCTTATACCTTAAATCAAAAAAAATTAGTTATATCACGCAAGCGCTGAAACTTAATAAAATTTTTAAGTAACGCATTTTTAATAAGGTTTTTTTTCAATTACAAAAGAAGTCTTTTTTCAACGAATAATAGACACGTTCTAGCTAATTTTTATTTTTGTTATCAATTACTTGTATAGTATTGCTATATCAAGAACCTAGTATAGTATTGCTATATCAAGAACCAATTTCTAACAATTTCAAAGATTTAGACATCTCATGCAGAATCGATTTTTTCAATGGGAAAACCTGTTAATGATACATAGAACAATTATCCTGATAATTCTTTGAATTCAATGTCTTTACTCGACAACATTGTGCTATTCTATAATGGGACCAGTACATTAGTTAATGATCTTCTTGAAATATTGCCAAATCAAGGTTTGGAACTTTCCAAAGATGCAAGGAGAATTTTAAAAACATCTAATGAAAAGCGACTTTATGACAGGTTTTTGCTAATTTATATATATATATACTTTTAAACATATAATTACTTGTTAATATTAATACAAATATTGAAATTGATACAGATATTGAAAGAAATAGTTAAAAACTGGGTATATTAGTAATTAAAATTTCAAATTGTTTGAATATATATTATTATATATCATTAGAAAGAGAATTATTACAGTATTTTTAAGGTGAAAAATTATCAAAATCGAACAATTGGTTCAAAAGTTATGACGGTTTAAGTACCGATTTTTCTATATATGGATTTGTTGAGGAAACTGTGGTCAAAATAACGTTTTTCTTCACTTAAATTGTCATAACTTTGTCAATTCTTATCAAAAAACAAATATCTTGGCATCAAAAGATAGGTGTAAGAGTGGGCTACAACTTTATGTTAAACTCTAACCGTCGGGCGTATCCGATTGACAAAGGGGGCACCAAACCACCACCTTGCCTGTGTGAAACTGAACACTTTTTTAGAAAAAAAGTTTTTTTTAAAGGCATAAGCAATATAAATATACAAAAAAATTGTTTTAAATTTATACTAAACTAAAATATATGAGAGGTGTATGTTAGCAATAATGGTGTGTGTGATGGTGATAGTTTGATAAAAAAAAATTATGAAACTGGAAACAATTTAAAAAATAAATTCATACCAGGCAATCACCAAATATGAGAGATGAATGTAAAACTCATAATAGATATGTTGATGTTTTAGCACTATAATATCAAAAACATTTTTGATTCTTGAAATATCTGATTGAATATTTAAAGTACAACAACAAAGAAGTAAAAAACATATTCCACTAGATTAAAATATACATTAGTGGTGCATCCATGGCCATAAGAGAGTGGAGTATAAGGGAGGGCCTATCCAAATGTATCATAAGGGAAGGGGCATTAGAATGCCTTTAGCCAAATCAATTGGATATATATTACTTTAAAAATTATACAAATACTATTGTGGAGCTATAAGTATAAGTCAATTGGCTGTAAAAAACATGTCACCTTTATATCCAAGTATAGCAACTACCTATATTAAAGTCTTTCATGTGATTATTACATTAACAGAAGTAAGGACCATACAGTATGGTTAACGAGCTAGCCATTCTGTTTTGGTAAACAAACAAATTTCTGTTTCAAAATAAATAATAAATAAAATGTTAACATTAAAAAAAAAATTTTAATTATTTTAAAAATAATTTAATATATTTTTGTCTTGGCTTTTAGTGAATGATTAATATGATTAATTCCAGTAATGAAACTATATTTTAATTATTTTCAACAATAGACACCACACAAAGGTAAGCCAGTCGTCTATAAAAAAAATTTAACAAATTACAACACTTGCTATATAATTTAGGCAAGTCACAACACTAGCTGTATTATTTATGCAAGTCACAACACTTAAAATACATTTTTGGCAAGTCACGATACTTGTTGTATTATTTATGCAAGTCACGACACTTGCTATATAATTTAGTCAAGTCACAACACTTGTGGTTTTAAATTCATTAAATTGTAACTCACCAGAAACAACATCAGCAATATGCTGGATCTTTTTCATGCATTAGTCAGCAGCTTCAATATCAGTTTCATCATCTTTCCAGTAAGAAATGATGTAAATGAAGTCATTTTTTCTTTTATTAACTTTGCCACTTGATTTTTTGTCTTTAGCAAATCTCATCTCTTACTTTGCATCGATTCAGTCAATATGTAAATCTATTTTTACGTGCTACATTAATTGACCATTTAACAATCTTTTCTCTTAAACTTAAATCTGGAGTGTCTAGATTGCCAACAGTCTTATTCTTTTTTGATCTTAGTTTGCAAGAGATATAGCAAATTGTTGTATTAGGAAACCATACTTTTGCATCACTAAATATACCCATTAATTCCTCACTATCTATATTGTAAAGCTATGCACTAGCTGTTTCCTTTTTAAATGTCTTCGTCACAGTAAGAGAAGCTAGTAGTAAATGACTAAATACTAAATTATTAAATCATATAATAGGGATATAACTGACAGATCTTCTCTAAATCTACAACTTCACTGTAACTTTGAGCATCTAAAACAGCAAAAGAAATATTTAAGTTATAAATAAAGGTTAGATAGTGGCCGAATAATAATTTGAAACAGTTTTATAAATTTATATTAAAACAACTTATTCATAAAGATATTCCTTAATAAGTAAACTTTATTTATTAAGGAATATCTTTATGAATAACTTATTTAAAAGACAAGATTCTTTATTGTAAAGACAACGTTCAAACTTCAAATTAGATATGTAACACCTTTAGTGTGGATTAATAAAGTAATAATCTTTAGTTAGCATGTATCATTAAACTATACCATTGAAATTGTTAAAATTTACTAAACTTACAAATCGCCTGTCTGAATTCACCTAAAAACCAATTTTAAATTACAATTTTATTATAAAATTAAACTATAACACGGACATTGCAAAAAATAAGTTTAAATGACTAAATAACTAAAATAGTTTAAACTTTACTTGTTCTAAATTGTCTATAGAAAAAAACAACAATGACTAATAAAAAGAAAGCAACAATTAGGAATACATAAATAAACAACTGTAAAAAATTTTTGAGAATAATTGTAATAAAGATCTTTAAATGAATACTGAAAGCAGATAACTAAATACTAAAATAATAAAGCATAACAAAGAAACTGACTTATCCTCTCAAAAGCATCTTCTAAAAAACAATTGAAAAACTTTTTTTAACAAAATAATACAAACATTTGTCTAGACTATATCTACTGATCTTAAATTAAAAGAAACTAATGTAAAATAAACTAACTAATATTGTTGGCTGCCACCATTGTACTTCTTTGAGTTGCTAAAACAATATAACAAATGTTTTGCATTATGTTACATGTATTATATATAAAAGTTGAATAATTTCACTAACATATATAAGTTATATATGAGCGTATTTTATTTAATAAATAAAGTACGATTCAACTGGAATAAATAATATAAATAAAATAAATAAAATTCAACTGTAATTAATAATATAAATAATTTACATTATTTATTACAGTTGAAAGATTTAACAGTCAATTATTTAAAAAAAAAAGATTAAAAGTATATTATATAAGTAACACTCTTACATTGTAATACAATGTAAGATAAAATTTTTTTATAATATTAATAATGTCTTTAAACTTTAAAGTAACATTAAAATTCATTTAATTTAAATGAATTTTAATGTTTCCTTACTAAGTAAGGTAAGTAAACTAATTTTTCCTTATTAAGTAATTTAATACTTTAAACTTTAAAGTTTAAAGTAAGTTTCTTTGAACTTTAAAGTTTAAAGTATTAAATTTTAATTTTCTTTTTAACTTTAATAAATAGGAAACAATATTGAAAACCTTTATCATTATTTTGACCTTCCATTTTTATTTAATCTAAAAAAAAAACTGAAAATGTTATTCAATCTAAATCAAATATAAAAAATGTTAGATTAACCCCTCTGAAACAATATTGAAAACCTTTATCATTATTTTGACCTTCAATTTTATTTAATCTAAAAAAAAACTGAAAATGTTATTCAATCTAAATCAAATATAAAAAATGTTAGATTAACCCCTCTGTCTCCCGCGCCTATTTTAGCAAAATGAGAATTAGGTACCAAAAGTGCGACAAAAAATAGACACCCTGCTACAACTTTTTTTTCAATGAAATTTTCCAGGTGCATAGATAAATGAAAAACTTAAATGATAGAATAGTATAGAAAAATGAATGAGCATATCTTCGACATTAATTTCATGCCCAAAGTACAACAAAGTTTTAGACATTAAAAAACTCTATAAAAATGCTATCTAGTAAAATAATAAATCTAACAGTAACAAAGTTTAACTACTCTAGTTTCTAAAAATAATCTATATTGATATCAAATTCTAAAAAGTTTTCCAACTAAACACGTCTTCCCTACACTAGCTAAAAAAAATTCTAAAAAGTGTGGCACAGTTTTTTAGCACAAAATTCGGTTCCGTAAAACGCGGATTTCCACGTACCTAGGTATATGATATACTATATGTATACTAAGTATATACTCAGCACTTGATACAGTATTTCAAGTATAATAATTGATATACGATATCAAGAACCAAGTTCTGACTGTTTGAATAACTTAGAAACTGCAAAACCTCATACATAGTCATATTTTTCAAAAGGAAAACCTATTATTAAGACAGAAAGTTTATGCTGATAATTCAATATAATTCAATATCTTTAATTAACAACTTTTAGATTGGAAATAATTGGACAAGTACATTATTCAAAATAATTGGACTAGTACATTAGTTAATGAACTATTTGAAATATTACAACATCAAGGTTTGAACTTCGCTAATAACTAATTACTTAACTTTAGTAATTAGTTATTAGTGAAGTTCAATAGTTTTCACTAAAAAATAAGTCTAATTCAAAAAATTAAACCAGTCGTAACAGTTATATAAGAGACAGGAGGGTAGAAAATTTCCTTTACACTACCCAGTGGGCACACGACGTTATTTCGACGTTGATTTACAGTTGATTTTTAGTCGCGACGTCGTATAACCAAAAATCAACGTTGTATCAACGTTGAAAAATTTGTTTAAAACTATCAAATAAAATCGACGTTGATTCCACGTTAATTCAACGTCTATATTACGAGTTCGATTGTTCGTAATTGCAATATGAGAACTAAAATACGCATGCGTGACTTAAAAATTTTTTATCAACATAAGTAAAGACTTAACAAGTTACTTATTAGCCCAATAAAAACAAGTAAAGTCACGCATGCTAATAAATTAGGTCATCTGTTGCCTTTTTATAAGGTTTTGAATTTGACAATTTAACAATAATACATGGCTTAACTTGTGATGCAGTTAGTTAGGTAAATATTAAATGGATATTTCTTTATGACCGTATTATTTCATGAGTGTGGAATACAAGTAGAGACTACTTGATATATTATATAAATATAAAATATATTTTATATATGTTTTTCTTATTTATATAATATATATATATATATATATATATATATATATATATATATATATATATATATATATATATATATATATATATATATATATGTGTGTGTGTGTGTGTATATATATATATATATATATATATATATATATATATATATATATATATATATATATATATATATATATATATATATATATATATATATATATATATATATATATGTGTGTGTGTGTGTATATATATATATATATATATATATATATATATATATATCTATATATATATATATATATATATATATATATATATATATATATATATATATATGCACATATATATATATATATGCACATATATATATATATATATACATATATATATATATATATATATATATATATATATATATATATATATATATAATATGCATATATAATATATACATACACTATATATGTACATATACATAACAAATATATATAACGGATGATGTTTTACAAAATAATGAATTATCAAGCTTTTTTACCAATCCATGTAATTTAAAGAGTTTGAATATTTTTTATATTAAAAATTTTTATTAAATTTTTAAAGATTTTTCTTGTAAAGTTGTATAAAAAAAAATTTGTACATGCTCCTTTAGTCCATGATATTGGTTGGTAGAAGGATCAACATAAAAATTTAGCAAATTTCAGCAACTGTATAATGTATCATAACGTACAGTTTAAAGTTGTATTTTTCTGTTAGCTATTTTACATAAACAAATTTTTAATATATAAGTATTTCCATTATATTTTCTACTATACTTTTCCAGTTGAAAAAGTATAGTAGAGCAAAGAAAATGTTCATTCGAGCTGTTTGGATAGAAAATACAGAGAAATAAAGAGAGAAAATTCGATTGATAATTTTTTGTGCTGGCCATCATCATTAAATGTAATAAATTGTTTCAATGAAATGCATAACCCGCATCTAACTAATACAGATTTACACTGCTCAAAATGTCATGGAGATAATGTAATTTTTTTTTTATATAAACCTTAAGTCATTACTTTTTTTCCTTGTTTTTTTAACATGCTTTCATTCTGTATATGTTGTTTTCAGTGTTTAGATATATTCTTTATTATATATTCTTTATTATATAATGTATTTAAAATATTTTTAAATTGAATGAATATTCTTAGATCATGAGTTATGTAATAAATTTGAATTTGCCTCTACTAGTGATACTCAGATAGAATCAGGTTCAGAAAACGATAACTATTTCAAAAGATACTTAATTTAAGTATTATTAGTTATATTTTGATATTAATTTTTATAGAAGCCACTACCATGCTTATGCAAGAGAAAGCATAATAACCAACAGAATAGTAAGCAAATACCTACTCCTGTAATGCAAAAAAAGAAACAGAAAACAATTTTTATGCATTCTCCACATACTGTAGCTCAAGGTATTAATTGTCTGTCTGCAAGTTGATTTAGGAAGAAAAGATTCTGAACATTTTTTTCTATGCTTCAGTGATTTACACATTTCTTTTGTTGCTAAATTAATACATTTTACTTAATTTATGAACAATGTTTTATTTTATAAATTTTTTGTTCTTGTGTTTCAACGCTTTTAGAAATTAATTAATGTTTGGTTCTTTTGTCTTTCTGATATATCTTTATTGTTAGAAAGAGATGTTACTAAAAACTCTTTCCAGTAATTAAAGTAATATCATGACAAATAGTTCTGGAATTCTATGGATGAACTTGCAGCAGTATTTTAATGATTATGATAACAGTTTAAATGATTCTTGGGTGAGGTCAGAAGTAATGGGTTGTTTCAAACCATGACTTTTTGCAGTTTTTTTATTGTTTTTTGATTAAGTATTTATTAATAACTTAGCCTAAGTTAATCTACTTGTAACTTTTTATAAATATACTATAAAAATAATGTGGTGTAATTATTTTCTTAACAAACTTTCTAAAATTGGAGGTAAAACCATTAAGACAAATACAAATAAATGTGATGCAAAGGTTTGTTAAAAGTAGTTTTAAATAAAAAATCTTTTGAATCTTTTTATTATAGTTTGTTTTAAACTTGTGTTAAAAATATGTGTAGCATATATTTTTAAAAGTTTGACGAATTCTAATTAGACATAAAATAAATCTTTTTTTTTATGTCTGATTATAACTGTTTTCTCTTACTTTTGTATTTCCTTGAGCTAAAGAACAACCTTTAAGTACAAAGGTTGATTTATAACGCATACTTAACCTTTTTTTTTACTCTATATATACATACATATATATGTGCATAAATAAACATACATATATATGTATGTATATATACATACATATGCTTATATGAATATATTATATATATATATATATATATATATATATATATATATATATATATATATATATATATATATAAAATAATGGTGCAATTTAAAGTTTTTTCTTTTATTTATAAAGTTGTACTTGATAAAAATAAATAAATAAAGATGAACATTTTGAATATTTATTGATTATTATGATAAATTATATAAAATATATATAAAGTATAAATATTTTGCAAAAACACTTTTATTTGTAATAACTGCTTCATTGCATTGTGGCATGCTTGCAATTTATTTTTTATAGTTTCTGTCAACTCTGGGTTATTATGCTAGATCTTGATAATCTCTTCCATAACATCTTGCTTATTAGTAAGATTTTTTTTTCCGATCTCTTGCTTTACTATTTCCCAAATGTTTTCTATGGGGTTAAGATCATGCGAGTTGTCTGGCTATAGCAATACATCAACTAAGCCATAACAGTTTTTATTGTGTGGCAAGTTGCACCATCTTTCATAAATATAAGATTTTTGACATTATTTTTAATTTTTTTTTGTCAATTTTTGATTTGTTTGGCTGGACATCAATTCCTCTTCTTTTAGCCTTCTACAAATGGTCCGGTCTGACACAACAATAACAGCTTCATGGATAAGCTTAGTGGCTTTTTTTCTCTTTTCCAGGCAGATGTTTCTGATTATACTGTCCGCTTTTGGTGTTTTCTTGCGTTTAGAAGGTGGTCTCCTTGGACCAAACTCTTCCCTGTATCAATTCTTTTTCTTACTTGCATTACGGTTTGGTATGAAACCTTTGCGGTTTGTGCAATTTTTCATTGAGAATAATTTGTATTTTGTAAAAGACATGTTTATCAATTTTTAATGTAACTACAATAATAATAACAATGTATAATGCAGGTTATTAACCAATGGTTTATAATCAAAATTTAATATGGCTAACGGTAAAGGTAAAGAGAAGTTTAAAGGAACAAACATTAGGTATTTACTTCTAAGTTATGTGTAAAATTATATATTTTTTAAAAATCACAGTTCGTTTTTTTAATGCTAATTTATTTTTTTAACTTTTTGATGTATTTGATGTAAATTACTCAGGCAATACCTTATTTATAGAGAGCGTTTTGTCAATTAAAGTGACTGCTACAGTTGCCGAAATAAGAAAATGAATAATGACTCGACAGATCAGATGGTGGTGGTCGGCGCGTAAAAGGCGATTCACCCGATGTATAAAATTCATACTTTTTCCTAGTTGTTCTGGAACTATTGATAATAGTTATTATTGATAAATTGATAAATATATTACTGATAAATAAAACTTTTTTTTTTTCAAACATTTTATTTTATTTGCATTGTGTATAAAGTCCGTTGAAGCAATTT